GGCCATCATGCAGAAGCCTACAGTCACTAACACGCACCAGATATGCACAAAGATCGAGGTGGGGTTAGACAGAGCAACAAAGCCCCTGGGCTGTCATTCAATTTCGCAAACCCATGTACTGAAGTAATAGCTGCGTAATTATCATAATACCATATGCCAGGGAGATATGTTAAACAGCAGGCCTTTCATAGCTGCACTCTAAATATAGTCATGACATGCAAATGCAGGCTGGATTTCATTTTTATGTAAAGCAGCAATTAAAGTAATATACCGAGATAAAGAGGTCCGCTGAGATTTATTATGATAATGGTTTTATAGTTTAGGAATGTGAAGATGAATTGTATTTAAAATCGGAAGCTGTTAGCAAGAATAAAGGCTCCTGTTCATTATGCTACTAAATTTACAGTTGTTCTTATAATTTCTGTCTAAAAGTATCAGGTATTGTCATTAGCCCATTAAATTACACAGTATATAAAGTAGGATCTACCTCTACCTGGATTCCTTCATTAGTTACAGTAAGTGTAACTTTGAAGTAAGTGTTGCATGACACTAAGAAATCAGTTTCCTTGCAGGATGTGGGACGGAGATCACTGATCTCACTTGATCTTTAAAGGATGGTTTTTTAACATAGTCTCTTAAAAAACAAAAGGAATAAAACATTCTTTCTGAATGCAAATGAAAAATGCCAACTCATGAGAACATAATAAACACAGGCCGTTGCTCATTTTTGGTACACTTCATCATTAGTGTGTTAGTTGTATGCTAATGGACTCTTCTCTACTTTTCCCTCTCCTCTTGGTTTTCCTGTTTCTCTTCACCCACCTTTCAAGTAATTTCCCCACGGGGATTATTAAAGTATTTCTGATTCTGATTCTGATTCTGATTCTGATTCTGATTCTGATATCACACTGTGCATGCACTAAGCATTGACCATTATTGTAAAAACTGATAGGCTCCCTTTAAAACTGCAATAAGGAACGCTCATTTTTTGTGTTGACTCTGAGGGCCCTGTGGACAAAAGCGGTAGTGTTTCCACCACCTTATTTCATTGATTTAAGGGGAAATCCGACCGAGCATTCAGAATAAGCATATAGAATTATCTTCTTGCTGACGGTCTCTTGTGCTTATGTAGGTCATATAGAGGCATCAGTATTGATATCATAATTCATAACCAATTAAAACTCCTTGTAGTAGATCAGTATTCTCCTTCTATCCTTTCATATGAAGAAGAAGATATACTTGTTTTTACACATACACACACACATATGCCTGAAATATAATCATGCACATGCAGGGCTCATAGACATGCAAATGTGGAGAGATGGTGGAGTGATGGGCTGCCAGTGGCGCACCCGGGAGCAGATAGAGGGTTAGGTGCCTTGCTCAAGGGCACCCTGGCTCTGCACCGGAGGTAGAACTGGCACCTCTGCAGCTACATACTGTGGTCCGTGCTGGATATGTCATATGAACTAAAGGAACTGCTTGTCTCACAGTAGCCATCACATAATACTGCCAGAGCAATAGTTGTTTCTAGTTTAGGGATTTTCAATGAGGATTTCAGAAATTTTGAATGATATATAAAAAAAGATCAAAAACTCTATATTTACAACTCTGTCAGTTTTTCTAATATAGGAAGAATGGGAAGAGGTATTTATTTTGATTTCTCCTGCATTACACAGTACGTGTTTGTCAACAATTCCTGACATTAAATCTAAATGTGAAGGTATGGAAATCTGAAAAAAAACCAGAGGAATGGAAGTGCAATAACAAGAGAGGGATATATGTAGCCTCAGTGGGCCCTCTAACCCTTTTAATACAAATATTGCCACACGTCAAACTGAATCAACAGGTAAACACATCCATCTGTAGTGGTTATTAGGGTGTATTTGGTGGATACACAACTATCAACTGCCTTTATATGAATGTTTAATGTGTGATCTGTAATCCTTTTAAAGATTCATCTAAACCAGAAGTCCTTCTAAGCCTTGGTCTGAGGCTGGACGCGGGCCTCTTTCGGGGTCTTGGGGATGTCGATTTGTTTAAAATTGCAAATAAAAAGAAAACTTTGCAGACTCTGTAGCTATAAAGAAAACAGATTATAAAATGAGCATAAGAGAGGCTGTTGGATTAAAATGAAAAGCTTAAAAACTACAAACTGTACATATAGTGTATGTGGTCTTGAGTGAGTACTGTCAGTCATGGATGCAGCCAGCCAGGTTGTTCAGGAACTCCTCCTCCACCCAGTAATGGATGGGGGTTATTGTCTCTCACCCCAGCTGCAGCCTGCACCACTCTGCCCCGTTC